TTTTTTTTTTTTTTTTTTTGGTCTGAAAAGTAATTATTCCCCTGTTTGATGGGATTACATGATTGCCTTTGTATTTTAATTTTCTTTTTCAAACAAGAGGAAAAAAGGGTTTAATTTCTTTTTATTTTTTCTGTTTGTATGTAATTGAATTGAGTTAAATACCTTTGACTCTTCATTTGGTTCAAAGATAATACTTTTGAATATCAGCTTTGAGCCCTGATCAATAGTTCTCAATGATAAATCAGATTTTAAATCAAATAATTTCTTTATTTCTTCTTGTGATTTTTATATCCTAATATTAAAAAATTGTTTCACCAAAGAATCATTTTGTGAAAGAAAAATGCGAAAGTCATAACATTTGATAGCCCCAAGAGATTAATTCAATTCAATTTCTCCTAAAGCTACTTCTGAATTGTAATTCCCCACCTGGATTAAATTTAACAAACAAAATATAAGTTATGGAGGAAGATATTATCTTTTATTGTGGAATACAACACAACTTACACGAACAGTATAATTGAATTGAGTTAAATACCTTTGACTCTTCATTTGGTTCAAAGATAATACTTTTGAATATCAGCTTTGAGCCCTGATCAATGGTTCTCAATGATAAATCAGATTTTAAATCAAATAATTTCTTTATTTCTTCTTGTGATTTTTATATCCTAATATTAAAAAATTGTTTCACCAAAGAATCATTTTGTGAAAGAAAAATACGAAAGTCATAACATTTGATAGCCCCAAGAGATTAATTCAATTCAATTTCTCCTAAAGCTACTTCTGAATTGTAATTCCCACCTGGATTAAATTTAACAAACAAACTATAAGTTATGGAGGAAGATACTATCTTTTTAATGTGGAATACGACACAACTTACACGAAACAATGAGTTTTTTATATTTTTAAAACAATAAGCATGCCATGTTCAATCATGATCCATGTCGAACATTAAGCTCTTATTTGACGACCATTCTTTCGAAACTCTTTTTTCTCATATTTATTTTTAATCACATTATTACAATAAAATAGTTTTCACGTAAATTCAAAACTTTTTAATAACATATTCTCCAAAAATTTAATATTCAAAAATTTATTTTTAAAAAAAAAAAAGAGAGAGAGAGAAAAAAAAAGGGCTGTCATACAATGCTAAGTAACATCAATTATATTGGATTGAGTTGGATTTGATTGAATTAAATTGAATATGATAAAACTGAATGTATAGGACCACATGGACTCTGTAATTATAGGGGCACCACCCTGTACACCAAGTGCAATTCAATTGAGTATGCAAGAGTAATACTCGTACGTTATGTCATGAATCATGATTTGATATTAGTAAAAATAAACATATATTTTTGAAGATATTAGCATTAAGATTATCATATAAACCATGTTTGGTGTCCATTGTTTTAAAATTCTTTTTGCTAATGATCATTTTTAACTATACATTTATATAATAAAATATTTTACACACAAATTCAAATTTTTTTCTACTTTTTAATATGCATTCTCCTAAATATGCTATCCATTTTTTTTTTCTAAATAATGGCCCCCCAAATAGCAGCGTAATAAGTCTGTTTGAACCTCATTTTTACTGAAGATTGTATTATAAAATAATAGATTGATGGAGAGTATATTAAAAAATAAGATTTTTTTTTAAATTTACGTATAATATTATTTTTTTGAAAAATATATTATTAAAAAAGAAGAGATATATTTTGTAATTAATGAGAATCAAACAAGTAAGCGAGACATGTGGCCAATGTGCCTAAAGATCGGGCAGTAGCCGTTATTTGGGTTTCGCAGTCCCAAAGCAAAAGCCAAATCATAATTATCTTACTAAGATACCAATTTTTTTCAAAATATATTTTTATTCCTCTTCTTTTCAAACACATATATTTTATTAAAATAATATTACACGTAAATCAAAAAATTTTCTTTATTTTTCAAGTACACATTTCCTATCAATTTACCATTCAAAAATACATTTTTACTCAAACACCCTCTATAACTTCCAATAATTAAATTATCCGTATTTTTATTAATTTTTACAAACATAAAATATTATACCACTTCATTTCATTCTCTCTCATCTCAGTTTCGAAAATCTCCACGTTGTGCGCTCCAAATTGCAATGTGAACATAATTGATAAATATATTTTAAATTTCATTCCATTCACAACAATCATTCTTTCTTGTGAGTTGTCCATTTTTTTTTCGTACGACCCAATTTAGTTTTTGTTTTGCATATCAGCATTCATAATCTTGTACGTGTATATTGCGTATGCATTTTTGTTAATATTTTCATGGTTTTATGTCTATATAATTTTTATTTTTTTAAACGGTTTGTTGTTAGTTTCATGTGTTTAGGGGTGATTGGTGGTTTTTACTTTTTTTTTTCTTTTGTCTTGATTTTGTATTAGTTTCTATCATGTAGGTTCCGATTTGTGTCAATGATGTTTGATTTTTGTGTTACTGTTTTATTGAATTCTGTTGCAATTGGCTTGTATTGAATTCTTCTTTTCTTTTTGTGCGAATCAGGTTCCTCCAATGTCAATTTAGTCGTCAATATCATGAACGGATTAAATTCAAAAGGGAATTTAGAGAACAATGCGAATCTGCAGAATGAACTTGAATTGTTGCTGCTACAGAAGCAGAGTAATCGTGGTTTAATACTTGAGAGGGAGAGAGAGCTAAGCATAAATCGAAGTGGTAGTGCGCCGCCAACGGTAGATGGCTCCCTATGCACTGCTGGGAGTCTTATTAAGAACCCCAATTTTATGACACTAGACAACGATGGTAGCAGCAGCGGTACTAGTGGTAACAATGGCGCAATGACAGAAGAAGAAATTCGATCGCTCCCCGCATATCTAGAGTACTATTATTCGCATGAGAATCTCAATCCCAGACTGCCCCCACCCTTGTTGTCAAAAGAGGATTGGCGAATTGCTCAAAGGATCAGGGCAGCAGGGTCAGGATTTGGGGGAGTTGGTGATTGGAGGAATGAAAATCTTGTAGATGATGGTGTACAATCATCATTGTTCTCGATGCAGCCCGGGATATCTGTACAGAAAGCGGAAGATGAGTTGATCGAGTTGAGAAAGGCTGCTTTAAGGAATCTTTCACGTAAAAATTCTTTTGACTATCTGCACAAAGCCTCCACGGGCAGCTCGAGTACAGGATTGGGAGTTAGGAGGAAAAGTTTCGCAGATATACTTCAGGTTTTTTCTCTTTTCATTTTCACTGTAAAATTTACTTTGCTTTATTGTACTTGCAAAATCCTGTGGAATTCAAAATTTTGCCTCTGTTCGTGTAAACTTTTTAGAATAAGTAGTAGTGTGTCAGTTGTCACAAGAAATTATAATTATTGTTGGTTGTTGTTACTGCTTCTTGCTCATTCTCTAAAGCTCCTAACTAAATAACTTTAATGATTCCACTTGTTCTCTCTTTGAACTTCTTGTTGTGAAATTCATTATTCGTGCTACACAGCCATCCAACATATAAAATAATAGCAAGACTAGTGAGTTTGTATACAGTGAGCCGAACCGATGTGCACTAAAGAAATGTAACATTTTCAGCAGTTTTTGCTGCAATATTCTTTTTCTTATTACAACGAAATTCAATTTCTAGAAGGTAACATCTTGGATGTAGCGTCACATCCATCCTGAAGTAAATAAAAAAACATAATTTTTAGGCTTTCAGAATAAATGATTGTCTCAGAGCCAGTTCAATGACAATCTTCCATTGTCTCTTTCTGAACAGTTCTTTGAAGGAAGCACCAAATGAAATTAATACTATTTTGATTACTAAAATTTGGCTTCCTTTCCCATTTCTGAAACTCGGTTTGATCCCCAATATTCAGAGCTTTTTTATGGTTGTACAATTTGAAATACTTACTTCTTTGTCAACTCTGGTGCAGTTTAAACTCTTGATTTAATTTTTTCCAGGAAGGACTTGGCCAACCTGTGACATCATCAGGTCATCTCTCCCGCCCTGCTAGCCATGATTCAATTGGTGATGCTTTGAGTTCAACAGGAATGTCACGGGAAGGGCTTGGCCGACCCATGACATCATCAGGTCGTCTATCTCGCCCTGCTAGCCATGATTCATTTGGTTCTGTTTTGGGTTCAGTAGGAATGTCACAGGAAGGGCTTGGGCAACATGTGAGTTCATCAGGTCATCTCTCGCGCCCTGCTAAGCATGACTCAATTGCTGCTGTTTTGGATTCAATGGGAATCTCTAGTACTCACTTAGCACAAATACGTAATAGAGCCAAATCCATTGAAGCTATGCATTCGGAAAATGCTTTTACAGTTTTTTCTAGTACTCAGAACCTAGGCTTGGCACTTCCTAATTCTTTTGCATCTTCTGTGGGTTCATCTTTGTCAAGGAGTAGGACTCCTGAATCTCACCTTGCTGGGAGGTCCACCAGTCCTCGACTTGTTAATGTTGGTAATGGAGTTCGCTTTACTGATAAGATAACTAGTTCAGCCTCTGACACTCTTAATGTTTCTTCCACTGGAATTAATGAGATAGCTGATATCGCTGCTTCTCTTTCTGGATTAGGCATGTTGAAAGGTCAACATCTTATCCAAGAAAATATTCTTAACTCTTCGCTTCAAATGGGAATATCAAATGGCCACAGAGAGAATCAGCACCGGCAATATTTTGAAAAGTCTACAATTGAAAAGTTGGAAAATGCCATCGCCTACGCTGATTTATCAAGGGATAATGAATCAATGAGAGGCTTTAATATTTCCAACTCACATTTGGATGGGCAAGTTAACTTTCCAACAAGAGCATCTTCCTTTTCTAATCTTCAGTCTCAACTTAATCCTTCTGAGTATGCAAATAAAGAAGATCTGAATATCCAAATTCAAGGCCATAATTCCCCTGTTATGGTTGTTTCTGGTCGAGGACATAATGGATGTTCTGCTGATCATAAACCAGACATGATGATCAACGATCGTCTTGCTGCAGGTTATTATTTTTTCTTGGCATGCCAATGCAATAATTCACTATTGAAGGAAGTCTTGAAATCTTTTTATTAAAATTCTGATAGGTTCAGTTTTGAATGGTACTACTGGAAATAGACAGAGCTTGGGAAGTAGCAACCAGACTAGTTCTGGCCTTCACCATCCCGTTATGGATCCACATCAAGTTCATTATACGCAGAAAATGTCCAATTATGGAAAGAATGTTGCATATATTTCAGGTAGTTCTTCTCAAGGAAGATATTATGTTGGTGGTCCCCATGGCCGTGAAGAATTGCAACCTTTAGGGAAAGCCTATCTTGAGGCATTGCTTGTGCAACAGAAACGACAATATCAGTCGCACTGTTTACATGAATCTGACAGTATTAATCATCAATACCGTTCTGATCCTGCATTTGACCCATGTGCCGTGCCATATCAAGGTAACCCAATGATGAATTCTGTACATTCAACAATCAGTACCAGGAGTCCTATGTTTAGTAATAGGCAAAGTTCACATATTCAGTCTTTTTTGAGAAATTCAGAGGGAGTGTCCACTGGTTCTCTGCATTCAGAAAGTGAAAATAACATGGAAGGAAGGTCTGAATCATTATTAGAGGCCTTCAAGAACAATAAGACCAGATCTTTGGAACTTTCAGATGTTCTTAGTCATTTTATTGAGTTCAGGTATAATAAGTTGCATTTGTTATTCTGCTTTTTGTAGCCAAGCTTACCTGTTTCTCTGCAATTCATTTTTTTTTTCCCGGTAACGCAGTATGGATCAATATGGAAGTCGCTTCATTCAGCAAAAATTGGAGATCGCTACCTTTGAAGAAAAGATGAAGATATTCCCAGAGATTATCCCTCATGCTCCTAGCTTGATGACTGACGTATTTGGGAACTATGTCATACAGAAGGTATTTTTTTCAATACAACATGCATTTTTACACTGATGTTCCAATGATGAGTGGATTAATTGGTTGAATTAGCAGTTCTTTGAGCATGGCACTGAAAGTCAACAGAAGGAGTTAGCCAGCCAATTGATTGGTCATGTTTTGCATCTCAGTCTACAAATGTATGGTTGCAGAGTAATCCAAAAGGTTTATTCATTAGCTTCAGCTCCTAAAATTTGCCTATGGCAACTTATGTGGCATGTATATCCATATGAACATCACTATACATGGCCATGAAAAATCAAAATTTCTGAGAAATGCACTTTCTTATCTCTTCATTCCAACTCTGACTTGAGAATTGATAAATGAATTTACACCATTTGTGTATTCTTCCTGCAAAGTGAAGGATTTGGTTTTCGTTGAACTATGCTTTACAATGCAGGTAGTTCTTGAAGTCCTCCTACGTTTCCATTTCCAGTTGTTGTTGAATTGGTGTGTACATGTTCTCTATAGTGGCATAATATAAATGATATCTCAAACGTCCTACATTGAAGATATCTTTCATTTTTAACTAATGATACTCAAGCTAAATTAGGAGTCACAATAACCAATGGAACATAGAGTTATATTGGGACTTGTTAGTCATCAACAATTAGTTTCATGATGAAATGTTTGCTGATCATGTACATGGAGTATATAGAAATGCATCAGGACAAACTACTAACATAGTTTGAGCATATGAAAATTGTGTTTGCTACAGGCTACAGCTTTCCAGTTTTATCCCGTAGTGTGACATAAAATGGCACACCAGGATAAGTAATTTATAATTATGTATCATGGCTATTTTGAGAACGAATTTTTAAAGAAGAGTTTATTTTGAGAGGACATTAATTCAAGATATACAATTTGTGAAGTATTATTCTATGAACAAAATACATATGATAATTTGCCTCTAAAATCTTTTGTGCCTCTTTTTCTTACTATATGCACCAAGACATTGATTTTATTCACAGGCATTGGAAGTGGTTGATGTGGAGCTGCAGACTAAAATGGTAGCTGAACTTGATGGATCAGTGATGAAATGTGTCCAAGATCAGAATGGTAATCACGTAATCCAGAAGTCTATTGAGTGTGTCCCTCAAGATCGAATCCAATTTATGATATCATCATTCATAGGGCAAGTCGTGACGTTATCGACACATCCATATGGCTGTCGTGTCATTCAGGTTAAGTTATTTATTTGTTGTTTGCTTCCTCTTTTATTTGGTGAGTAATTCATGTACAATGGATTTTGCTTTTGACAGAGGGTCCTTGAGTACTGTGGTGATCCTAACACTCTACAAATGTTCATGGATGAAATTATGAACTCCGTGTGTACCCTAGCACAAGATCAGTTTGGGAATTATGTCATCCAGGTATTTGTCCCTGATCATATACATTAACAGCTCTATCAGAATGTTGATTGATTGTTAAACTATAGATTTTGATCTTCTCTTTAAAAATTTTGTGGCACAATCTTTCTGATTTTTTATTCTCTCTCTCTTTCTTTCTTTCTTCTTTTTTTTGGGTCGTCCATTGGCACTTAATTGGAACATTTGACGATCAAGTGATAATAATATAAAGAGAATATGAGAAAATTGGTGCATTAATGTGAGAATTGTCATATCCACCTATAAAGCTATAGGATAACCTTATTGTAGAATACTCTGCATCGGTCAAGTTAAATTATTTATTGATCACGTTTGCCAGTTCCTGTTCAATGTTACTTATGAGGCCATGGATGTTCAAGTGTTTTATTTCCTTTAAAAGAACTGATACGGTAAAGATTGAAAAATAAAATTAGACAAGGTTTACGTGGCTTAGTCAGATCCTGTCTCCATGGGTGCTGAGAGCTAATCCACTGTAATCTAGAAAGATTCTTTAGATGTTACAATATGGAATTTGAGACTATATCTCTTGGTTCATTCTATTCTTTCTCCTGAACTCAAGATTGGTATAGTCACTTCATATGACCACATTTAATCTCTTTTAGATGGAAGGATAGCCATTCTTTTAGGTAATTATGGTGACATGGGTGAGGCAATTTTTTTCTTAAAAAGAGAAGAAAATGGAGTTGGCAGACAAAAAATGTGCTGAACTTGTGAAAAGAAATTGGAACCTATCAATCTGACCTGTATATGCAGATCACACTATGCTAAAGTTACACTGTCCACTGTTTTTGCTATACAGAAGTCATCAATGCGGGTGATTTGTTAATTCTTGACCAAGTTACGGAATTTTCTTGTACTGTTGTACGTTTGTACTTCTGTATTATTTGCTGTTTATTTAGGAAATCTCATGCTTGTACTTCAAGATTGATTTTGTTATGTTTTTTCTCACAAATATGAATTTTACCATTCTGATAATTTTTCCTCTGTTTATTTTTTCTATTTTCTTGGGGATCTGTTAGCATGTCTTGCAGCATGGTAAACCGCACGAACGGTCTGCTATTATTAGCAAGCTTGCAGGTCAAATTGTGAAGATGAGTCAACAAAAATTTGCTTCCAATGTGGTCGAGAAGTGCTTGATTTTTGGTGGTCCAGAGGAGCGTAAACTCATAGTGAGTGAGATGCTTGGGTCTACAGATGAAAATGAGCCTCTTCAGGTATGTGGCAATGCTGCTCTCTAGATTTGTAACTTGAATTTGCTTCTTAAATAACCAACAATGCACCTTGATAATTATCAAATGTACATCGTATTTTGCATTTATATAGCTTCCTGAGCTGATTGTTGCACTCTAACTGCTTGGGGTTAAACTATCTAAATCTTTCACCATTGAAAATTTGATATTTGATACTTTTTTCTTTGGTTTTTTGCAAATATGGTAGGGGGAATCAATTCCTTGCTCATAGTTTTCCAGAACTTTCTTGATTTTGTAAGTTGAGCTTTAGCAGTAGACATACCATGGTGGTCCCCATCCTTAATCTCATTTAAGGATCAACTTGATTATCACTTTACATGATTTTTTCTTTATGTTGGAATCTTGTCAAAGGCACCTCTTTATCTATACGAATATATAGAGTTTCACTGTTTTTCATCACACTGTAGTTTTGAATTGAATAAAATATTATTCTATTGGATTTCATTGTTAATTAATGTATTATTCGGTTCTCTCTTATTCAACCATATATTGGGATAACAACAATTCTTTGATTAGCAAATCTCTATACCACCTCCCATGCACCTTCCTATTGAATTTCCTCCTTTTCTTTCCATCTTCTCCCCGTACCCCATCCCCCCCCCCACACACACACACAGAGAAAACACAGAACACAAAACCCAGAACTCACTCACTTCTTGAATTGAAAGTCAACTGGAAATCATTGTCCTAATATTTCCTCATCTTCTGTTGTGGAATAATGAAAAAAGTTGAAATGAAATTTTCAGGCTATGATGAAAGATCAATTTGGAAACTACGTTGTGCAGAAGGTCCTCGAGACATGTGATGATCGAAGCCGTGAATTCATTCTCTCTCGTATCAAGGTTCACTTGAATGCACTTAAGAGGTACACTTATGGAAAACACGTTGTATCGCGTGTTGAAAAGCTTGTAGCAACAGGAGGTAACTTTTAACTTTTACTCCATATAGATTCTTCCACAAATCACAATTACGCTGCTAATCAATCAACTTCTAATGATATTCAGAGAAGCACATAGTGCCATCCTCCTCCCCAAGCTACTCTTGAAGCAATTCAACTCTGGTCAAAAGAAGAGATCTTTTGTACATAAGAATATAAGTATTTCCTGTGAGGCTTCTAATAGGTGTAAATAAGGAGGCAGTAATCTTGCTGGAATAAGGTAGCTTCTTTTTCTTGATGATGTATATTTTGCGCGTAATATGTACTGACAATTGGGATGAGTCGTACTACTTACCTATATGGTTCGAAATTTGTGACAACTTGAGGATCTATAGCTGCTGCACATAATTCAAAACAAGCTGTAAGCTTATGGCAGAGTTTTCTTTACTGAGATGAGCTTAATGGTGTATGTACATTTTTTGGGTTCTCTTGAGCAAATTCGAAATTCCATTTTAATGGAGAGGAAAAATGATTAGACTAATATTATATCTCAGCAACTCGAGCAAATGCCTCTCTAAATTATGCAAGTAAAGATGAAGTGTCTATATATTTGCCCCGCACTTGTTTAGTATCATAGAAAAACTGAGCAAATGCCCCTCTTTGTTACGAGCATGTTTGGCGATAAGTTAATTGTGTATTGAGCTCCGATCAGTCATATTCTTGAAATATTATGTTAGTTAAATTTATTACAATAACATACAGTTTTGTTAGCATCTCCACGGTGATTTACTTGGACAAATAGTTCCTTTTTCAAGGAAATCGTTGATTTCTGATGCAATGATCAAGTAATTTTTTGTTCATTTGAATAGAACGAGATTTTGTATGGAATTATAAGGAAGTGAGACAATATGTTTTTCTTCTATCCCAAAAGGCATTCGGAATAGTAGAACATATTTCATTCTCAATTCTTTTATGAGATGAAGAAATATTTTCAATAATTGAAAAATTTTGCAACCGTTCTTGAATTCGTTGAAAACTAATTTATTCTTTAAGAAATTGAATATGTTTTTTCTTAAAATTAACATTATTAAAAAATTTTGAAATAGATGTTTCTTTTAATGAATTAACATCTTTATAAGAAAAGGGATTTGTAAATTTAAAAAATATATCTTGATCAAAAATATTGGTAGTAAGGCCTTTTGAGTTAGCTTGAAATGGATAAATCTGGACAATAAGAGGAGTTCCAAGTATAATTTCTTGGTTTAAATTTTGACCAAATAAAATATCTTTCTAAAACATTTATTTGAATTAGAAATAGGAGCTTTTAAAAGTTTGTATTGAATATTGAGTTTTTTTACTACTAGATCCATAAATTCAAACTAAAGAATTAAATTTAGCCCTGTTTGGCACCCATTTTTATCAAAATGCATTTTTCTCTCTCTTTTTTTCAACCACACATTCTTTATTAAAATAATATTACACGTAAATCAAAAATTTTTCCTTATTTTTCAACCACACATTTCCCATCAATTTACTATTCAAAAATTCATTTTCACATAAAAATTCCTACCAAACACCCTCTTTGAATTCTTTGTTGATCACAATGGTCATAGTACAATACTATTTTCGAAGTAGAATTCGATTAATAACATCAATTTTCTCTTTTTCAGTTTGAGAAGTAGAATGAGAAGTATCATCTTCGGAAGAAGAGAACTCGTGATTAGGATTATATTCTTGTTCTAAGTTTCTAGCTTTTAAGAACATGACTTACATACGAACTTCTTTCATTTGACGTTCAAGAATAAAAATTTGAGATTTCATTTCATTAAATTCAGATCTTAATTCAAAACTAGAAGATGTGGATTCAGTATTGAACCATTTTAATGTCTTTCATATTCAATGGTGTCATTGAAGTTTTTTATATGGATTGTAAAAGGTAAGATAACTTTTCCTTAAATTGAGGATCATCAATATTCTAAATTATTTCTTGAATAAGTTATTCTTCTTTAGTAAGAACATTCATAGTATTATAACCACAAACTTCTTTACCTTGACTAGAAGAGGAGCCAAAATTTGATCTAGTTCCAACATTAGAGTCTTCTCGAAGTTGATAGACCTGTTCTAAATCGAAATCAGATTCTTCATCAGAACTAAATAGAGAAGTTCAATTTTACTTTATCATCTATTTGAAGATTATTAATATTTCCTTTCATAGGACACTTGTTGGATTGAGAATTTTTTTTTTTTTTTTTTTTTTTTTTTTTTTTTTTTTTTTGGAAAAATTTTTTTTTTTTTTTTTTTTTTTTTTTTTGTTTTGTTTTGGGAAAGATCTCTTTCTAAGAAAAGACGGAAAATGTTTCTTTTTTGTCTTTGAAGATTGAGGATTGATTTTTTCAAAACCATATTGTTCTCAAAAAGATCCAAATTCTTTGTGGCTTTTAGATCTCTCGCTTTTAAGTTTTGATTTGAGTTTCATGTCATTGCATAATGCAATCCTTCTTTATTAATATAACTTATGATTTCACCATAAGATAAAGAAGCATATGGAATAGTATCATTTTTTTTTTATTTTAACGAACTTTTCTCATGAAAACTTTAGCAAGGAAGATATCTTTATACCACTGAAATCATGAAATTTGGGCATGTTAAATTCATTAAAATTTCAGAGGATCTTTCTTGTAAGGAAGGGGATTTTCCAATCAAATGTTTGACCATGGTGACCAAGAAGGTCGTGATGTTGTCATTTTGTCCATTAGGTTTAATGGCATTAAATACCTCATTTCATTCATTTTCCGTGAGGTAATTAGTCCACCATCCCTTTAATTATCTTGAAGGACCTGCAATAATATTACTGAAAGTAGTTAATTCATTAATATCATGAAGGAGATAAGTCGAATGGCACGTTGCCATAATTTCAATGACTTGAATAATTTGATATTCAGTCGTTTCATTAATATTCCATTCAACTACCTCGTCTTCATTGTAGGTTGTTAGAGGTTTTCTTCCTTCATCATATTGCATATCAGGAAAGGACGGTCTTTGATAAAAATTTGGTACTTTTGAATTCTGGCCTTGCAACCTATTAACTTGAGAAGATTTTATTTCTTCTTTGAATTGATTGTCAAGTTCTTCAATAGAATCAACAACATTGGTATTATTAGATATAGATAATTTTGATCGTTGCTTTGCTAATTCTATAATAACACTTGATTCAGTAGAGAGTTTTCTTAAATCTGATTTTGAAATAGTTTCATCTATAGGTATAAAAATTGAATTTATTGGTTTTTTATTTTCCTTTTTGGATTCTTTTGATTCTGAATTATTTTCAATTCTTGATAATTGGCTTGTCGTTGATTGTAATAAAATATTAGTATAATTATTTTGTGATTGAATTTTTTTATATCTTTGGCCGTAGTTCCAGAGGATTTTGATCAATATTGAATTCATTTTTCTATCAACTATAAAAGAAATGACATTGTATTGCCGATCAAATCTTTAAGAAAGAGGTAATGTGTCTGATAAAGTAGGTGAACCAGGCTCTTCTAATTCATTATCCTTTTTAGACGTGTATTGATTCTTTAGAATGTTTGGAGTAAAATTTACCCATTTCAATCTATCGGAAGAAGTTGAAAATCTAGTAGATTGAGAAATATTCTTAGATTTATTTTCAGGTTGAGTGAAAAAGGACTTTTAGGAATTATTTGATGTAGAAGCTTTGTAAAAAATCACCTTAACATTTCCATCTGAAAAATGAAATAATTTGATCAGGAATAGTTTTAATAGTAGGAAGAGGGTTTTGAGTATTTTCGAAATTCCATACAAGTTCTTTGGACTGAAGATTCCATGGTATCCTTTTAGGAATCATGGTATTTGAATGAAGAGAGTTTGGCTTCTACCAGAAGGCTTCCTTCTTTATGAGATGAGAAGAGCTCAACTATTGAGTTGAGTGTTCATAAGCTTATAATATATTCGATATATCATAGCAAAAGCTTTTGAACAATCATCAAAAATAAGATTTTTTCTTTGTTAGAATATGAAAATTGAGAGCATTAAAAATAGCTTCATCATTAAGATTGATTGTAAAATTTGGATAAAAATCTGAAAAGACTTGACCGCTTTCAAGATTTGATTCTAAGATTGATAATATTGAATTTTCGAATTTGAGAAGACTCTCTAAGGATTAGAGAATAGGAATGTCTAGACCAAATGTGAACAAAGGTTTGACAGCTATTTGAATAAGTTCCACATGATGATATTTAAATTTCTTTATATGAGTTTGAATAGTATCTTTTGAAAATAGATTTATTTGAGTAGATTGGCTCTTAATAGCAAGTGTTTGATGAAGAGTTTTGATGATTTAATTAGGACTAAAATCAAACATTCCTATTTCATATATAGAACTGTTATCTACCTTTGGAATAGTCCAATTGTGGAGTTTTTGTTCGATTTGTGCAATTTGAAGTTCATAAGTATTGAAAGTATCTAATGCAGGTGCATGTTCTTGGTCTAATTCTTCTTCATCATGAAATGTGCTTGAAAGAATTTAGATCTACTATCAGATCTCCTAAGCCAATTGGGCATTAAAGACATAATAAATAAAATGAAATTATAATGACATACCATTGTAGATGCAATGCTATAGGATACACAGAATCCAACCCAACCTATAGCTAGACCACCCTACGTTCACTTGGCTTCACGGGCTGACCAATGCTATTTAACAGGCTCCAAGGTAACTAGTTTCTCCCTTGATATTGTTCCTAAAATAGTATGGCTAGGATAATTTCATTTAATGACTTGTGGCTCTGACATGGAAATAGGTCAATGGGATGAGAATGGTAAATTTGAAAGATAAACAAACATTACAATATCAAATGATTTGAAGAATAACTTTTATTGAAGAACAAATTTTCGACATAGAATACAAAAAGAAAATTTTAGATTACAAGGTAAATCCAAACTTTCTTGAAGAGAAGTTTTTCTTCCGCAAAAAATAATAATAATAATAAATAATAATAATAATAAATAAATAAAACCTTGCCCTCCTCTTTAGTCTTGATATGCTTTTATACTTGAACCTCGAACTTGAAATCTTTTGAATTATTTTGAAACAATCTTTGAATATTACTGAGGGGGTCCATTGAATAGTGAAGAATGACAATTTTTTTATTGAGGGGACCTTTGAATAGTGTAGGATGATTATTCCACGTCATTATGTTCAAGTTTGTCTTGTCTTCTACTCATCTTTTTGAAATAATGGACTACTTTATTAAAGTTATTGTAATAAAGTATATCCATTAGTCTTGATTGATAGTAGGACTGATGGGAATAACTTTTGAGGTGACAAACTATTTGAAATCGAATATTTCTTGAATTTTGAGCGCTATGTTTTCAGTATTCGTCCAAATAATTGAGTTCATATAGTCATTTTGAATTTTTCTAAATTTTTTTTAGCAATTTCTTGAGCGTTAAGTTCATCCATATCTATCCCTTGGCAATCATCTTCATTACTCTGGGTATAGCATGTTTCTGAACCTATTTGAGATAAAGTTTCATGACTTTGAAATAGACACTGTTAGGGAAACAATTTTCTAAGAAAAAATTGCTAATTCTTTTGGTGTTTTGCATTGATTAAACATGGCCAAATGTCTTGAATTTTTGGCAAGTACCAATGTTTCTTTGTTCTTGAATCCATGTGTTAATAGCTTAGGACAACAATTTGTTTTATGGAATTTTGATCGTTTAACTTTGAATTTTCGAACTATTTTCTTTACATTGAATTATGATCCTGGTTTTTGAACAACATGAAAGTCCCAGCAGAATATTCATGAGACTTTAAAATTGAATGCGAACTGGAACAAACATTTTCTTGAGGCTTCAAAAAGTTTTGCCTCATATTTGAAATGTTCGAATCCTTGACGAGTAAGACTAGGTAAAATGATCTCATTAAATCTAAAGTATTCGAGCTATGTTTGAAACCATTTTGAAAAGTTTGAAGGACTTGCTTGATTAAAAAGTATAGACCTGGAACGAGAAATTGGTGTCAAATAAAAAAATTGAACCAAGCATCCTTATGGTCATAATAATTGAAATGATATTCGAATCTTTCATCCTTTTCTTTTGATAAACACATTTATTTCTCTTCTCATGGATGTTGTTCCCAATCTTCATATGACAAAACCTTGTTGAATACTGATTTTTGAAAAATCTATTTGTTTAGGTTTTTGAGTGTTTGCAATATAGATTATGATAGTTGATCCTGTTTTTGTAAGAACGGTTTCACAAAATGCTCTAGATTTTCTTTATATTTCTTGGCATGGATTTAAATTGTGAGGGAAATAAACCTTGAAGACATTCATCAAGAGAAGAATATCTATGAATCCATGCTATTTCCATTTCAAATACTGAAAGAAAGATGGACTTTGTGAAATATTGAAATGCTTTTGGAGGATTTATTTCAGGCAATTTTCTTGAACCAAATCAAACGGCTTTTTTGAAATTAGAAGGTTTTGGTTGTGCTGGGGTGTTTTTACTTTGAGTGAGTTTTTGAAACGCTTTTGAAGCAAGAGTAGTGTTTTAAGAATTTGAAGAAGCTTGTTGTTCTCTTCTTGATTCGTGAAAATATTCATTATTTGATAGAAGAGGGATTGAGGTCTTCTTTCTTATCATTCTTTTGAGAAAAAGAAGACTCCATAGAATTGATATACTCACAATTCAATCAATAAGAGGTTTTATTGTATAAACTCTCTTGTTGAGAAGTCTACAAGAATGTTTGATTTTCTTTGTATATATAATATTTTGAAATCCAAAAGGACAAAGTTACTTGCCATCTTACGAATATTTGTTTTGAAACAAATTTTTTTACATGTTTTTGTAAAACATCTTTCGAAGATTTGCAATTAGTTTTTAAAATAAAATTTTTGTTAATTAAATCGTCTTAAAATTTTGAAATACATAAAGCTATTAATAAAATTTCTCTTTTGATTATTGAATAATTCTTTTGAGGGCCAGTTCAGACTCCTGAATGGAATCTAATTAGTCATTCTTGACTTGACTCTTTTGAAATTTGCTTTAATACACCACCATACCCTATATCAGACGCATTTGTCTCAACAATAATGGAGGCTAAATGGTCAATAATTGAAAAGCATGGAATACTTTTGAGAGCATATTTAACTTTTTGTATAGCTCGTGACTCCAAGGTAATGGATGCTTTTGCATCCTTGAAAGAAGAAAAGTACATAATAGCTTTATAGTTTTGACAAAATTAACAATATAATTGACACAACCTAAAAAACATTGCAAGTTTGTTTTATCTTGAATTTCATCAGAAAAATTGTTTGCAAACTCAAGATTTCTTTGAATTAGTGTAAATGTTCCTAGGTGTATGTACTGTCCCAAGAACCTTAAAGGTGTTTGACAAAGAACAACATTTTCTGTTAATGACATTTATATGAATATATTGAGATGTTTAAAATCTTGTTACGAACTCCCAAAGTAGATTAAATATCATCAATATAAACAATAATAAATTTTTGATAGACATTAAAAATATCATTAATAATTTTTTTAAATTCAGAATGAACATTTTTTAGACCAAATGGTATATCATTCTATCATATTGACCAAACGAAACAGTAAAAGCAATTTTGTATTTATCTTTTTTGTTAATTTGAATTATCCAAAAGCTTGATTTTATATCAAATTTAGAGAAAATAACTGCTTTGAGTAATCTCTTTAACATATATTTCTTTTGAGGCAATGAAAAAGAAAGTAAGTTTTAGAAAATGAAGGCAAAACATGACCTAAATAAAATTGGGTATGTTGCTAAACTTCCACAGAGAGATTCAAGGAATGAAAATGGTTCAATTTGAATGATTTATATATATATATATATATATATATATATATATATCAAACTATTCAAAAGAAGAAAGTCGTGACTTAATAAATAACATCTTGTATGGACAACTTAAGGTTTCAATGCTTAAAATTATTTTCCAAGAAAATCTCTATTTTAACTTTTTAAAATAGATATTTTTACTTTCTAATGATTTCATTTAATAAGCTACAAATTTAAATACACTACTTTTTAAAATTTTCAATTCATATTTGAATTTATGATATATAAAAAAAATTAATAAAAGATGAGGAGAACAATCAATGTTCCTTGAAAAACGAAAAATGAAGAACTAAAAATAGATAGTATTATTGAAATTTATATAAAAAAATTTAGTCTCCAAATTCAAATGTTTTCTATTACTTTTGACAACATATTTAACTTTTCGTACAGATAAAGTATGCTCATGACTCCAAGGTGGATGCTTTTGCATCCCTTGAAGAAGAAGAGCACATTATAGCCTTATATTTTTGACAAAATTAACAATATAATTGACACAACCTAAAAAGCATTACAAGTTTGTTTTATCTTGAATTTCATCAAAAAAACTATTTGCAAATTCAAGATTTCTTTGAATTGGTGTAAATGTTCATAGGTGTATGTACTGTCCCAAGAGCCTTGAGTGTGTTTGACAAAGAAAGGTTTTTCAGTTGACACAACTCCATCATTATTCTTAATGACATTTATGTGTATATTGAGATGTTTAAAATGCTGTATGGACAACTTAATGCTTAAAATTATTTTCCAAGAAAATCTCTATTTTAATTTTTTAAAATAGATATTCTTACTTTCTAATGATTTGATTTAATAAGCTACAAATTTAAATACACTGCTTTTTAAAGTATCCAATTCATATTTGAATTTATGATATATATAAAAAAAATTAAATAATAGATAAGGAGAACAATTAATGTTCCTTGAAAAAAGAAAAAAATGAAGAACTTAAAATAGATAGTATTAATGGAATATATATAAAAAATTACTCTCAAATTAAAATGTTCTCTATTATACATAAAATGTTCAGATTTAAGATAGAAACCCATATTCCAAATTAATACGACGTGCACATAAATTATTTCTTTTTGTCCAGGGTTAATATCTCGTAAATTTTTAAGTGGCCTCTTCAACTATAATTGACACATTAACAATATTTACCTGATTTATATTAATAAAATATTGAATATATATATATATAAACTTCTAAACTTTCAAAGATGCAATAATTTATTTTACAAATTCAAAAAATAAGGATTTAAATCCTCTGGTAATTTAATTTTTTTTTTATTTGCTTAAAAAGTTCAGATTCCGTATGTAAATCATTAAAAAACACTACTATTTTACCTAGAATTAAGCTACTCAAACACGGAATGTTGACAGAAGTGATGTGGCGAACTGTGATTCGCCTATTTTTCTTTTCCCATCTTCCAGTGAATACATGCCAAGTGTTGTTTGTCAACATTCCCTATCAAAATTCTCTGTTTGAGTAGCATAATTGTTTTACCAAACTTTTCACCAATATGCTATAAATAACTTCACCCACTTCTCAAGTACACCACACTCGGAACATTTATGCAGAAACATCAAACCTCATTATCAAAATCTAGTTGGATCAATAAACGAATATATTCACAAAAATTAATAAATCATCAAAAAATTTATGTACAAGGAGGGAAAGCTAAGGGAGTAATAGAAACAGCATCTTCAACATCTAATGCATTTTCTAAAACGACTTCATCAATATCCTAACTGAACTCTCCTCCGCGGACGCTGCACAAGGGGACTGTCTACAAATGGTGGCTAAATTCATGGATGCCACCACTTCTTCTTCTTCTTGAACCCCACCTCGGGCAATTCTACATACAAAGCAAACATAAAAGGCCATTCGACTTTTGTCTACTCAGCAGAGGAAGATCATGAGAAACTTAACCAAAAACATAACGTTAACCTTTACCTCCTAATGGATAGATTGAATTATAGTGCACTTCAGCCCAGAAGCTCAAGAATATAACTGCAGTGAAACATAGCAACCAATTGTTAAGACTACCCTAAAGTCCAAAGAAGAATATCATTCCCCCCAAAAAAAGCTAATTTATTGATTAAAATAACACGTCAAGAAATTTACATATGGATGAGAGGGACAAGTAAAACAGAAAAAACAGAGAGTTACGATACTCTTACAGTTCACAAAATGGGGATGGAGACTGTTGTAATCAAAGTATAAAACACGGAAAGGGTTCCATATGTCGGTAGGGTCCATTTGTTTTGCGGTAACGTAGGGGAAAAGGAAATGGAAATTGAGGAAATTTTGGGGGATATAAAAGACAGAATCTATTGAGATTTTCTCTTACTTTTTTCCCCCTTCCTTCCATTTTCATTTGAAATTAACAAAAGACATTCTAAGGAAATATTTTTCTATGAAATCAAGCCACTTTCTACTTGCACTGAAAAACTAAATTACTTGTTATATTAATAGTTGAATTGCAAAATTTAGCATTTCAAAACAAACCCAAAATTTGCCAGGCATTTAAACTTGTTTCAAGTGATGCTAGGTTTCTATTCCTTAATCTACATCAACAAATCATTAAAAAAAAGAAATGAAAAGAAAAATTGATAATTACTTCTGTTTGACTTCTGAGTATGTGGAAGAATCTCGATATAGCACGTATCCTTGAATGACGTAATGACAAAGATCTTGACACCATACTGCCACAAAATTTGTTAGTTATTGACCAATTGTTGAGATAACAAATATGTCGTGCAAGATAGCAACATCTAAAGTAAATCAATCCAGAACCTCGCTGTCATAGAAATTCCTTTACTATTGCTTAACATGACCCAAGTGAAACCTAAAATCATTCAAATGAACATAATATTCTCAATGATATAGATTGATCATTTCATTATGCAGTATTTACACAACTTCATACGGTAACAAAAGGATTCTATCTACATGGTGGAGATCAGACAACATAGCTCTAAAAGAAAAAAAATTACTTATGTATTGAAAAACACGCGGAATTTATGCATTGGATACACTCATGTACAAACAAAACATAGAGAGAGAAGGCAGGAAGGAAATATACTGAATCTGCGGCAGCCTGCAACGTGACATGATCACCCCACTCTCCTGTCCTGCAATCATGCAATGGAGATTAGACAAGCAGATTAGACAAGCAGATAGCGACCAGATTCTGTCAAAAGATCAGACGAGAAAGAAGCTACATATGAAACGGCACCATACTTCTTTATTTTCTGCAAATAGCCAACATAAGCCATGGGAACATAATTTTCGTACAATTCTCGATGTGACTTCAACTGGTGGTGGCAATTTAAAAACAGAAGCAACGTTAAAATCTGAATAGTTATGTGGCAATGACAAGAATCAAATGAATTAATTTGCAAGTGAAATGAATCTCTCATTGGCAAAAAATGCAATGAAACCTGGTTGACAACTTGCTCTCTCACAAATTTGTGATGCTCTTGAGTACGATATATTTGATCTGAAAGTGAACGGAACTGCAAAAGGAACAGTTAAAACTTAGAGTCCATGAGTCATGCCTTCTATGAGTTCAATACAAACGAAGGCGGCTAGCACTCAGAAGTACAAAAGAAGTGATTCAATTTGATTCGAAATTTTTAATATATATAGAGTCAACTATCAATTGCCCTCAAATAGGAACACACTTCAAAAGAAGATCCTACAGATTTTGAAACTTGCATCCCTTGAAAAAAAAACATGGTCATAACTTGGACATGAATCCATTCATTTCATAAAAAGTAGACAAAATTTGGCATCTTAAACAAACTAGCGTGGACGATGTTGAGCACAAACAAAAAAATTAGTACGCCTTATCCACATTTTTCAAATTATTTTTTCCTTTCTTCCTTGTCTTATTGGCTTGCAATTAACGGGAATGCTATTGACACCCATATCAAATGCTGTGGGAAAACACTACAATGGGAAGACAGGAAAATCTATCTGGTAATTGGCTTTTTCAAGATGCTATTCTGATAATCAAAAGCTAAAACAGAATAACAAGAAATAATCAGTTTTCCAATTATAATTCCACTGAATAGAATAGAAGCGGGAAAGCCAATCCTACAAGTAACAGGATAAACTGGTGATGCAATTTTTCAAGTAACGCATCAAGTGATTTGAAGAACATGTCCACCAGCATGCATAATGTGTACAAGTGTGTATCATACTGGTATTAATGCTTTGACATGTGGGGAAGACGTGTGCCATCAATCTTCAATTTGCACTAACATCTAAAAGAATATAGATTGTTCATGTACAAATGTAGATGGAGCCCAGGGATGTTCAAGAACCAACCTGACAATTACCATCCCCGGAAATTTTTAGCTCCACCAGGTCATACAACTGCAATCTGATTAAGACAAAAAATGATGAGTCAAAAGGCACCACAGTTATGAGAAAGTAATGGGCAATTCAAATAACTAGGCATATAAAGAGTATAGAAATGTGACAGGAAATTTCATAATAATTTGTTCAAGCCACATGGCCCACATCCATTTTGATCTTGTAAAACACAATCATTTAATTCATCCTAAGTTCTTCATTGACAGGAAGCAGAAAGGACCAATCAAAGTGAATTTAACCAAGTAGACAACTGCTCAAGAAAAAATAAATGCCTTGGAACTTCTATCCAATTTACGTATATTGTAGTCAAACCACACGTGGAATGTTTGAGATGTCAGATTAATTACATCATTAAATCGTAGTTTTATGTTTCATGGAAATATTGATATATTTTAGAATGTTTTCCAATAGTCGATGAAATATGGTTTCCAATATAAAAGACTGCAAAAAGTCGGAGTTCCACTATAGATGAAATCATTTGATAATGAAACTAACATTTACCTATGCTCTTAGCATGAGATAAATTCAACTCAGGCATATGTTACTCCCTTGTCCAAGTTCCAGGAGTTTGGCATGCATATTTCAGTTCACAGTAAGAACCCATGTAACACATAGCTTTGTGTTTTTCCAGAACGTCGAACATAAGGAAGTTGATGATGCCTCCCTCCTTTATGATTTCTCACCCCCTTGTTCTGCCACCACTACAAAGTTGTAAAGACACTCCCCCTTATTCACAGTTGAAAATTTTGTTTTGACTTTTGCAGTGAGTTAGACCTTTTGGTAAAGCTATCTTTTAAGTATATTCTTTTTTTTTTCTTTTCTTTTTTAAAAGATAAATGAATTTTAAAATAGTTCAATTGTTAAAAATCATATTTTGTGAATATTGCTACTAATGAAGCTTTAAGATCCAATAATCCTGAAGTTCGGTGTTCACAACATATTACTCACATAGTTCAAATCAGATAATTGGCATGACATACCAAAATATAGCCATGCAAAAGGTGAGAAGAAGCAGGGGGAGAGAGAAACAAAACAATGAAACTGTAGCAACACAAGGAACAGCTTAACAACCAGGGGAAACAGAAGAGATGTTGCACAAGACCTGTCAAGCAGCCTTTGATGATCTGATGAAACTTCATCAACAGATGGTATTTCTCCATTAATTTTAGGAACATGCTGCAATAGTGAAAAGTTCGATAATAATGCTAGATTTAACAAATCTTAAAATTACCATAGAAAATTACCATGACTTGATATGTGATAATATTAATTAAAAGATGTTTCATAGGGAATAGGAAGCTATTACAGCAAAAGACAAAGCTCAATGTAAGGTTAAGGATGTTCAAGTGACAACTGGACCTAATTCCTGTAGATTTGGAAAGTAATAAGGTAAAATTGAACTCACAGGAATTGAAACCATCTGATTCAGTCTTCTGCCCATTTCACCATAAAGAGCAGATTCATCTTCTATCTCCGGTAAGACTGTTTGGTTCTCACACTCAATTGATAATTCACCAAGGTTACACGAAACTGTTCCCATTTCATATGCTTCATGATTACTTTGAGATTCTGCAGACACGAGATGAAAAATTCAAAGAATAGTAAAATCTTATCTACAAATGAAAATAAAAAATAACGACGGTCCCATACCAGAACCAAAGTTCCTTCTTGAAGGATCAAGCCAAGATTGAGCAAGAATAGACGCTTTCTGATGTTGTTCTACAGCATATTCAGATCCCAATGCCTCTAAAGCTGCAAGTCTAGATAATTCTTCCTGTAGAGCATGAGCAATTTCTTTGTCGCTCTCCAAAATAGAGTGTGCCGTGTCCCAATAACCCTCTTTCACAGACTCAATTTGAGACGAGTCTTTTTCATAACAAGTAACAGTTCCAAGAGAACCACAATTCGTAAGAGAGCATACATCTATAAGGTGAAGGCCCCACCGAACAACATCAGGATCTGGTTCATACATAGTTGTGTTCTTCGACAAGATCTTATGAAGCCTTCCCAATTCAAACCAAAAACTTTTATGGTCCAAAGTTCCTCTACGCAATTGCAATGAGCAGAAATACTTCCTGCAAGAATAACATCCAGCTTTATTTTAAGAAAATGTAGTCCTCTCAGTTTCATAATTTGACTATATTTACAAAGTCATAGCTTTTTTTGTGACCAACCAGGAATCTACTTCTAAGCTCTATCATTTAAAAAATTGGGATTCCAATAATTCGGCACGAAAATAAACAAGTGCATAGAATGGGCATAAAAATACCAAAATACAACTATAAATGTATTACCAACCGGCAAACTTATGACCATTGATAACATATGCAATTCCAGTTTTTACATCAAACAGATATCTTAAAATTTACATTCATGCCACATAAGTTAGAAAGTAGTTAGAGTCAAAATGTCCAAGATATTGTCGAACAGGAACAAATAGTACCGAAGAAGCACTAGTCTTTACCACCCCACCCCCTTACCCCAACTGCCACCATTTAGGGCTAGAGGGAGGATAATATTATATGAAAATGATAAAAATAAAAATCATGATTTACGTAGATGGTTGACCCAACTGCCACCAAGATACTGTTTCCACAATATGGTTGACCTTAGATGTAGAAATCAAAATTTATGTAGCAGCCTCTCTAATAAAAATCTCTCTGGTTCAACATTAGAAAGAAATCCAAAGTTCCAAGGAAGTAGCAAGATATTAATATAAGATTTCCAAAGTGCAATAGTTAATACTAACTAAAATGGACAGTGTGCTTCAAAAACTACCCATATGAGCATCATGTAATCAAAGATGGGCAAAGATCGTTCTCATCATAATAGATAGAATACATCCTCATTGAAAAACTCTTGACCTCCGATTAGCATGAGTAAACAGCTCTAAATAAATTCTGAGAACAGAGTTTTCTTATTCAAAGCCTGAGAGTGAATGCAAAATTTGTAGTGAGCAACATTAATATTCAAAAACTAAGTAAATCATTTTTCCTAAAACACACATGAGATGACCAGCCCACTAATGCTTCCATGTACATAATCTAGCATCCAATACAGAACCCTGATTCATAATAAATATCTGTTTTCATAATAGAACAAACCTATCATATTTGAAAAAAATCAGACTTTCAGATATACCACGTAAACGTTATTAAAAAAACACAAACAAGTTTTGATATTTTCCTATCCCTCCCTACATTTAGGGTAAGCAATACTCGAATTGCAATTCATACCCCATTTTCTATGCTACCGTACATAGATTTGCTTGTGATAGTAAAATTTTCCCTAAATCAGATTGACGATCAGTACAATCCCGTAGAGGAGTTTCAACTATGATCGTTAGCTTACTCTTTGTAAAGTACATAAAGAGATCAATTCAATCATTATTCATCAACTCCGCATCCTATGACTTGGAATCCAGCGAAAGAAAAAGTTGATTCTAAAATTCGAAGCTTTGCAATGTTACAAACCTACTGAATCAATAATCACGAACATGTTAATTCTATCTTTAAATTGAAAAGAATGAACCCTGAAATTCAATTCATCATAGAGGAAAAATATGTGAATAAGTATTTACAGACCTTTTAATTCGAAGCCAATAACTTCAAAAATCTTTACCTAAACAAGGTAATTGTGCAATTTTTGAATAGGAAAATTGAGAAGACGTCAATTTTCCAACTTTTGGATAGCGAATAAGCCGAAAGCAGGTACAATTCTTTTCGTATAATCAGTTAATAATTTATAATAGGGTCTCATTCTCGGACATCGGTTAGGATAATTCAAAGATAAATCTGCATCTACATAGTTTTTATCTTGAATAGGACTGTACGAGAATAAAAATAACTCCTTTAATTATACTGGTTAAAATTAAACGAGCATAGCACATTATTCGAAAATACTTTATAGATAATATAAAAATAATATTTTGTATCAATTTGTTGGAAGATTTGATGAATTTCGGATGAATTAAAATTGTAAAATTTAGCATAAAATTTTAAGACAAGAAAATTGTACTCTCAAAACTCAATTTCTATAATTCATATTTTCTGTAATGATGAAATACTATAAATAAACAATCTTTTTATGTTACATTTAATACATAAAAATTAATTATTAATACATAAATTTAAACACTCATTAAAATTTATAGATACATGAATATGAATAAATTCATTTATAATAATTCTAGATTCATGTAATTTAAGTTTCATTAAATGAAAATTCATTGAATCTAAGTTAATGTGAATGTAATTAATTGAGAATTGATAACACAAATTTCATAAATGACAATATTTATGTAGTGTTTATTTCATATTGAAAAACGAAAAGTAAGGTACTGTTGAAATAATTGAATTGTATGGGGTTAAAAGCGTCCAAGAAATGATTATCCCTTTATATTCTAATTATTTTTTATTGAATTCTTATTTTAATATGTCATTAATTAGTAAATTATGTCTCTAATGATAATTTTGTTAATATATATTAGTTATTTATCTATTATCAAATATTAATCTTTTTACGCATTTGTTAACAAGATTATATAACGCTCATTCCCTTAAATTTCACTATACAATTGAATATGAAATTTTAGTCTATTTGTTTATCAAATCTAACATGATATTAGAACCATCCAGGGGTGGATCCAGGCTCCCGCTATAGTCCATTCTCACCCAAGCCCAGATGCATTAGTCCACCATTTCTTTCTTTCTCTTTATTTTATTTTTTTTATTTTGAGGAAATTACAACCAGAATGATATTTTAAGATCAGATCTCATTTATAAAGGTTTAAGTTTGTTAATTTGGAAATCAGGTTTTAATTTTTTAATTATTAATACATTTTATATATTTATTAACTGTAACTATTTTCGTTCTTTACGTTAAAGTCGGAGAGAGAATATTTTCAAATAAGGCAACAATATCTTTCAAAAACTACCTAACCGCAATGTGCAATCTCCCACGATCAACCCACTAAATTGATACATACCCAAATGATAGAAACCGTCCTCTTATGTCTAGGCAACGAAACCCCATATCTCAACTATTCATTATCACAGGAAACGAAATCCCACGTCATCGTCGTTCACTATCACAGGCAATGAAAGAGAATGGCGAATACGAGGAGTTCTGACCGGCGGTCACAACTAGAGAAAGGCGATCCATCTGCCTCCAAAAGACAAACCGTTCGAAAGGAGATTCATGACGAAACTCCAAGATGACGAACGAAGAATGTGAGTGCTCTGAGAACCTTTTCATGAAATGGGTAATTGGTTTCTCCGATTTTCATGAGTCATTTCGAACGGCATGGGGCTACGTTCGGCGAGATACGTTAAGTGGGCTAAGTGTTCAGCAAATGATTGTGTAAAAATTTGTGACCATTATTCGATTAATCGATAATTTGGCTTGTGTCTGGGTTGTGTGAACGTTGTTTTGGTGTAATTGATTGTGGTGTGTGACTGCTGTGTGCGAACTTAGCATAGGGATGGCTGTTGGGTGATCTTAAAAAGGTAATTGGTGGGTTATGAACAATTTTGTTTGTGAACTTTGTATGAATGTGGTTTGTGTCAAATTTGGTTTGTGACAAGTAGTTGTGTGACTGCGGTCTGCAGGTAGTTTTTGAACTTTCGCATTGTTTGTGTATTTTCTACGATTGTGTGTACAATGTGATGTGAATGTGACCTCTATGTGCCCCATAAACAACTTGTGACATGGATTTGAATTCGTTCTTACATCTGGTATACATACATTAACAAGATCTTTGAAATATATTTGCACTTTGTCGTTAATGTTTTGCGGGAATGGAACTACATTATCCCCGAAGATTAATGGTTCCGAGGTAAAATTACCACAAACGTGACAAAGAATGTTTTGACAAATTTCAAATCAAAGTTCACTGACGAATAAAAGGTTATCTTGGCAGACACATGTTTTTCATATTACATAGATTGCCAAGAAATTGTAGTGCAGCCCCAACTCATACACTACTTTTTGCCAAGGGAGGTTAAGCAGCCAAATCATAATGAGATGTGGTTCAAGGTTGCAAATAGATATTTGCAGTTGTCATTGTGTGAGTTTTGTTTGGTCACAAATCTTAGATGTAATGACAAAGACATTAGGAGAAGGCTTGAGAACGTCTCTTCTAGGATTAAGGAAACATATTTTGGGGATTTGAAACTAATGACAAACAACGATATGCGTGATGTGTTTTTGAATTTGTCGGATGTAGATGATCATGATGTTGTGAGTATTGAGATTTTATATTTTATTACGTCATTCCTTTTCTCTACGTCCTACACAAAGGTGGTTGAAAATTATTTGTTTTCTTTAATAGAAAATTTTGTTGCGATGGAGAGTTTTCCATGGGTTACCGACTTATTTGAGATGTCTATAAAATCTTTGAAAAAGGGTTTGGGACATAGAAATCGTCACTACAGATTGAAGGGTTTTTTGGTTGCGTTTCAAGTTTGGATTTATGAGTGCATTCTGAGCCTCAATGGACCTTTGACCAATAGGGTGGGGAATCGGCACCCCCACATTATGAATTGGGCATCGCATAAACAACCTTCTGCAGTCAAATTGGGTGAAGAGGTCTTCTCCCATTCCGATGTAAGTGTAAATGTTTTGTTTTTTTATATGTAGCTCACTGCTATTGTAGTCACAGATCATCGGTCATAAGACACACATTTGTTATAGTTCACTTGTTCGCATGTCACAAGTCAAATGCATAGGTCACAGAACTCTGAGTTGTCAAGGTACATAGATGCAGAGCAGGGGACCTGTGTATGCAGGTCACAAACTATGTGCACAGGTCATAGGCCACAGACTTGTTATATTTCCCAAGTGTTAGCAGTTTACAACATTTCACGTGTTCGCAGGTCACAAATTGTATGTGTAGGTCACAAAAATACTAACTTGTTAAGGCACTTAATTGCAGAGTATGGAACCTGTGTGCGTAAGTCACAAACTACGTGCACAGGTCCCAGATCACAGTCTTCTTATATTTCATAAGTGTTAGCAGGTCACAAACTATATGTCATGCATACTGGTTCATTGTTTTCCAACTTGTAGGGTTCTCTTCCTTCGGCACCGAGATTGAACCTTCCAGTTAAGAGAGCTCCTAAACCCATACGAATTCTGCAGTCCCCATATGTTATTGCTGCTGGAAAACAAAGTAAGCATTAAGATGGTGTTATCGTATTTGACAAGCATGACAAGCAAGTGAACAATGCTGATACAGTTGCGTTTCAAAATTGGTTTAACAGATGTTACAAACCAAGAAATAAGTATGTATCTTTTTCATGCTTGTGTGCTCGGGCTTCTTATGAATTCATTGGTAGTTTTAATTGGTATTTAACAGCTCTTTTTTCTTTGCAAAAAGAAGTTTAACGATGCGGATGACCATATTAGATCGCCTTTTTTAATTAGTTCGTTCCCGGTCTGCTCAAAAACATGGTGCCATGAACTTATCTATTCGGAATCTTCGTTGATTGGCACAATATGATCCGTAGTTCTAAACAACCACATTGTATATAATTATGTGCTTGTTAAAATTTTTGATCAGTTCATATGTTAACACTTTTTTACGGTTCATATGTCAAACACTCGGAATATTGTTGTTGACCACAGCTCACGAGTCACAATATATAGGTCACAGTAGATAGGTCACAACTGTGTAAGTTTGTTTAAACACCCATAGTTCACATACCATATCTGCACAGGTCACAACAGCCCTTCATGGGTTAAATTACACAAGTCACAGGACATAGGTCACGATAACTAGGTCACAACTGTTTAGATTTGTTTATCGACCACAGGTCACATCTGCACGGTCAGAAATGCTATTTTTGGTTCAAAAGACACAAGTCTGCAAATGTCATAGATTATGTCTAGCAGGTCACAACTTTATTGCACATAGGTCACAGGCCACAAGTCACACTTCACAGTTTGTTAAACACCTGTCAACATTCAATGCACTCATATCACAATTCCACTTTGGATGTTTTTAACTATTTACAAATCACAGATATGTTACAACTTCGTTTCTATTACCACATTCACATGCTAAATAACTGTCTTTTATGTTTTACAGCATATGGACGTATGTTTTCATTACCTATGGCAGTTTGCAAAATGAAGTCAAGATGCAAAGTCGAGTGTTACAACAACTGATACCCTCTTTCAAGCTAAGATAAAAAAAACATATTTTCCTAATTCCAGAAAGATCCAAATGTGATAATGACAGACTCATACATTGTAGAGGTTGCCACATGTAGGCGGTTAGAATTCAGTCGTCCGTGGTCTGAAATTGAATATGTGCTTATCCCGATTTTGCCCACAAATCGTGCACACTGAATGCTCTACTGCCTCGACATAAGAAACCATAAAATGTACGTATTTAATTCCAGCTACAAGACCTATCGTGATCGAATGATTTTTGTCGGGCTGAGCTATTCGCCAAAGTCATCTCGCGCTTGTTGTTTGGCTTGGGCATTTGGAAGAAAACTTGTGATGATGATAATAAAGATCCAATGGCGTTGACATTGTTGCTTACTAATAACATTCCGCATCAACAGAATGGGTATGGTCTTGTATTCGTTTTGTGACTTGTTGATCTTACAATTTTGGTACAATATAGTGTCATATTTGATGTGCTACCTTTTTTTATTTTTTCAGCCATGATTGTACCATCTTCGTCATTAAGTTTGCAGAGTACATGCTTCATAACGACATGAAGTCAATGCTGATAAATTTTGACGCTAGCCGAGCTAGGTTGGAC